AAGACCATTAGAATTAGAAATAAAAGAGCATTCAATAGATGAAGGAAAAACTTTAATGTTAACATCTTACGATCCACAAATGATAGAAGATGTAATAGGAAGCTGGAAAGCTAGAGTAGTAAGAAATTATATACAAAAAGGATTCGATCATAACGTAATAGAGATGTATACATATTTAGAAACATTTTTAGGAGGAGTAGCAAGAGCAACATGGGAAGCATTTAAACAAAAATTTCCAGATAGGTTACAACAAGATCAGGCACATGAGGTCAATCCAATGAATTTTGTTAATCGAGTAGAAGAAATTCTATTAGCAACAAGTCCAAATAGAGGAGGAGTAATGACACAGATAGAATCGGTAAGAAAACTAGAACAATTATCAATTAGAAACTGGAAATATATTAAACCTTTTTTACAAGACTTTTTATATTATAGTTGTTTAGCAGGATGTTTTTATGATGAAGGAATTATAGAAAAATTATTTGCAAAATTACCAGACGACTTAGGAAAGAAAATATATACCTTATACAAAGCAACGCCCATGGAACCAACATTAAAAAATGTGAGTACGGCAGTAAGATTTATAATCAATAGACTAGTAGAAGAATGTACTTTTATAAAAATACAAAAACAATTAAAAGGAGAATATAGTTTTTGCTCAGAAATATACACACCACAAAAATATGGAGAAAAAGATAAAGAAAAAATAAAATATAGAAAGCCTTATAAAAATTATAAAAGATACCCTAGAAAACAATATTATCTTAGGAAAAGCAAAGCTAGAAAACCATTTCTCAAAAAAGAACATCATGTTAGAAGATATAGACCAGAAAGAACTTATGGAAATAGATTATCTTGTTTTATCTGTAAACAACCAAATCATTTAGCAACAAATTGTCCACAAAAACATAACTCTTTTAATAGAGAAGCCCACTTAATAGAATTATTTTCGGAGGATTTAATAGAAATAGATGATAATATACTAGAGACAGAAAGTATTTATAGTATAGTATCTGAAGACTTAAATTTAACAGATTTTATAGAACAAGAAGACACAAGTTTTATAGATGAAATTTTAGAAAAATCAGAAAACAAAACTATCATGGATAATATATATTTAGAAGAAATGAAAGAAGATTTTAAAATGTTAGAAGACTTAGAACTAGTTGAAGTAGAGTGTATCCATAAATGGGAACATAGAAAAGGAAATTATAGTAAACCATGTTATAACTGTAATAAATATCCGTCAATAGAATTAAGGTTTCAATGTCAGCTATGTTATATAGAAGGATGCAAATTCTGTTTAGAAAAATTTACACAGGAATATGTTTTAATAGAAAATATTAAAAAAGAAAAAACTGAAGAAAATCTGCCTTTAGAACATTATTTAGAAAGAAGGATAAGAATTTTAGAAAATAAGGTTGAACATTTAGAGCAAAAAATAGAAAAATTAAATAAGGGAAAAACAATAGAAAGCGAAGTATCTATTGAAAACATAGATCTAGAAATCTTTCCAGAAATAGAAGAAATAAAACATAATTATGATCTAGAATTATTACAAGCAGGAACATCAAATATAACATCCATAGAAGTAAAAACTCGAATAAAAATAGGAGATTTTGAAACACAATTATTAGCAGTAATAGACACAGGAGCTAGTAATATAGTAATCCAACAAGAGTTAATTCCAGAAAAATATTATGAGAAAGCATACCATATTAGAACAGCTAGACAAATGGATGGAAGTACATATACATATGACACAGCATTACATAATTCTTTATTATTTTTTGAAATAGATAGCATACACTGTACACAACCATATCCTGTAACAGAAATATATATTAGAAGTTTTCCTTATCAAATGATATTAGGACTATCATTTATTTTACAGGCATATCATGGCATGATTCTTACTAGAACAGGATTAACATTCCTTAGAGAACATTTTTTACCATATAATACTTTTTTAACAAGCAATAAATTTAAAATAAACAAAGATAATAAATTTACAAGACTCTTAGGACTAGAAGAAAAAGATAATTGTAAATGTGATATAAAAGGTAGCTGTAAGAATGATTCAACCCAAGAATATAGGGGGAAAAATCAGAAAACTAATTCTTTTGACAATATGGAGATGACTGGAGAAAGGCCTTTATATTCGTCACAAAGAATTCAAAACTGTTTAGAGGACAAAGAATTTGAAGAATATTTAGAGATAGAAAATTATGACACAATAGAAACTATTTTAAATAATGAAAAATTATATGATCTGTTAGAAACAGGACATAGCGATATAGACCAACTAATAAGTGAATTAGAAAAATTAGAAATTTTTGGAGAAAATCCAACTATTCATTGGGATAAGGACAAAACAGAATGTAAGTTAGATATTTTAAATCCAAATTTAAAAATTAGCACAACAAAAATAGAAGCTAGTAATGATGATATAAAAGAATTCGAAATGCATATAGCTGTTCTAAATAAGTTAAAAATAATTAGAAGAAGTACTAGTCCACACAGAAGTGCAGCAATTATAGTTAAAAAACATAGTGAAATAGTTAGAGGAAAAAGTAGAATGGTAATAAATTATAAAAGATTAAATGACAATACTAAAGAAGATAGCTATGATATACCAGATAAAAATGAGTTAATAAATAGAATCCAATATAGATATATTTTTAGTAAATTTGATTGTAAGTCAGGATTTTGGCAGGTAAAAATGCATAAAGAAAGTATAGAATGGACAACTTTTACATGTCCTTTAGGACACTATGAGTGGCTAGTAATGCCTTTTGGATTAAAAAATGCACCAGCCATATTTCAAAGAAAAATGGATAATATTTTTAATAAATATAAAGATTTTGTCATAGTATACATAGATGATATATTAGTATTTTCAAAAAACAAAGAAGAACATGTAAGCCATCTAAAATTAGTTTTCTCAGAATTTATTAAACACGGAATAATAATCAGTAATAAAAAAGCACAATTTTTTAGAAAAAATATAGAATTTTTAGGAACAGAAATAGGACAAGGAAAAATAAAATTACAACCACATATTTGTAAAAAGGTTTTAGAATTTCCAGATAAGATAGAAGAAACAAAGAAACTTCAACAATTCTTAGGATTATTAAATTATGCAAGACCTTTTATTAAAAATTTAAATAACCTAGTAGCACCATTGTATAATAAAACCTCTTTAAAAGGGCAAAAATTCTTTAATAAAGAAGACGTCAAACTAATACAAGAAATTAAACAAACAATAGGCAATTTACATGATCTAAAATTACCATTAGACACAGATTACTTGATAATAGAATGTGATGGCAGTAGTACCGGATGGGGAGCAGTTCTTTTTGCAAAACCAAATAAGTATAGCAGTAAAAATAGTGAACAAATCTGTAGATATGCTAGTGGTAAATATAAGGAAAAAGGCAATAGGAGTAGTATAGATAATGAATTATTAGCAGTAAAATATAGTTTAGATAATTTTAGACTTTTTATAATCAACAAGTCTGAAATAACTATTAGAACAGACTGTGAAGCAATAAAAAAGTTTTTTGATAAACATAATGAAAAAAGAAGTTCTACTAGAAGATGGTTAAATTTTGTAGATAGTATTATTGGTAATGGATATAAAGTAGTTTTTGAACACATTAAAGGTAAAGATAATAATTTAGCAGATTTTTTATCACGACTGTTTAACAATTCTTCTGATCTCTCAGCAGATGGCATATAACTTCCAGAAAGTCAAAATTGGCCAGTGGGAACTTACAAAGTACCCTAAAGGTACAAGTCTACATTTCCATAGCCAAGAGGAAGGTAATTTAGAAGACATCCAGCAGGATATCTTAAATAACCTCTGGAATAGCAGAAATAGCACTGATAAAGTTCGAAATCTTAATATCTTAGCATTTTATTTTAGTAATCTTCCAAAACAAAGTTTTTCATATTATGTAGTGGTAAAAGGAAAAATACCTGGAATCTATTCCAAATGGATTTCCGTTATAGAACAAATAAATCATTTTCATAATCCTTTATGGAAAGCATTTCATAGCATACATGAAGCACTAGAATTCGCTAGGCATAATATAGGAACAACATTTTATGTAGATCCTAAGGCTAGCATGGACAGCATGAGGGCTCCAATATATCAAAATACAGATGCCCCTAGTAGCAGTAGAAATTATCAATATGCATTAGAAAAAGATAACACAAATAGAATAGAATTTTGTAGATATTGTAAGAGCATGGAGCAAGCTATTAGAAGTTTAAATTTAAAGTGTAAAAATTTTGAAGAATAAGATCTTTCTCAAAAAGAAAAGATAAAATCTTTAACTGAACAACTCAAAGAAATGTATAAAATCTCAGGCTCACAAGGAGATACTATTCTCTCACAAATTTCTGAGATTGGGGAGCTCAAAGGAAGGCTGTCTCATACAGCATCTCAAATGGCCAGTTCTTCATCCGGCCCATTAAAACAGACAATTTTTATAAAAGAAAAGCCCATTTCAGAAAGACCATTTGAATTTCTTAAGCCCAGAATATTCTTTAAACCATATCACCTACTTAGTTTCCTCCCTTTACATATCCAAGAAATTATTAGCCAAAAAGCCCAAGCCCAATATTATTCAAAATTAATGGCAGTCCAACAATACTTTTATGAAATAGCAAAAGACCCAATTAGAAATACAGCAGCCATTAGACTACATCCATCTTTCTTCATCGACCCAGAAAAACATTGCCCAAACAATCCAGAAGCCTGTGACCACCAGAAAATAAATAGCCATTGTATACATACACTCAGTAATTTTTTCCTCAGAGCCACTATTATCTTATCAAAATATTCATCCCCAAAGATACTAAGAGTAAATGGGGAAAGAGTTATTTTAACACCATAATTTCTTATGGATGCCGGATTCCTGGAAAAAATTATTGTTACAAATCCAGAAGATACTCATTGTCTTGGAACTCATCTCGGATACTTCATCAGAAAAATGCTAGACTATGGACAGTGGGCAACTGTACATATCAAATCCGCGCCAGCAGAATGGATAGGACTTTTTGATATAGAACCAGCAATACATAGAATGATGATTACAGTCAGCAATATACCACCAGCAAGGAGAACGACAGAAGAACTAGAGAAAATCAGCAGCAGTCTAGTGGAATGTCCATTAGAATTGAAAGAACAATTGATAAATGCTAAAATGATCCAATTAGCTTACAGACATTTCATAGATCAATGGGAAAATGGAATTAGGTTAGTATATGAAAATAAGATACAAAAGATATATGTCCCATACAGGTTTAAGTTAGAAAAAGATTTCACTATAAGTACCAATTATCCAGAAGTCTTTGAAAAATATTTGGAAGGATATTATATGAGCACAGGAGCAAGGCATTTGGATATCGAAGCAGATGAAGAATATAATGATGATCATTATTGGGAAACAATGGGACCAGAAGAAATGAGCAACATCGAAAATATGATGGAAGGATAATTCTTCGGCCATCTTGTCAAAAGCTATAATGTATAGATCGGTCATAAAGCTTTTATTAGTTATCAGGCCACATTGTATAGTTTGGCCAAATTTATTTAGAATCTATGTATAGGTCGGTCATAATGCTTTTATTAGTTGTCGGCCACATTGTATAGTTAGGCAAAATTGATTTGATGTTTTTACGGATTTCAGAAGGTCTTAAGTCCGTAAAGTTAACATGTCATGTCCACGGACTTTGAGTCAAAAATTTTAAGTCCGCACAGTTTGCACAAGAAGTCTATAAAGGCATACGTCCCAAACCAATGTTGGGTACGATGCACTTACATCCTGTAAATTAAAGCATCCAATAAAAACTCCAATTTCATACGTTCTTTAGCAGTTTTTCACAAGTCTTTGGCTCTCTCATATTGCTAGCATAAGACGAAAGAGAAATAAGAAAGTAGAGATTTAGGCAGCCAACCCTAGATTAGATCCAAACCACCGGAAACTCTGGAAAAGATACCTTGTTTTTAGGATCCTAAAAGACCAAAAGACGGTGTAGTACCCATTAAAGCCTTTCAGTTACAAAGCAGGCGCCAGGGGAAGATCCGGTGAGGCAAAACTCCTAATCACAAGATTCCCATTTTCATAGCATCAGAAGGAAAATTTGGATTTAAAGCAAGGAAGGTAAAATCTCAGTTATCTTTCTTAAAGTATCTAGTAGTCATTTATTTCTTAAATTCCAGTTAATCATCCTGATATTTTATATGAATTTTGAACCGCCTTTTCAATTTACATCCACTCCAGAAAATGCATACAGATTAGCATTACAAACCCTCAGACAACCAGATACCTATTATTATTTTGACAAAATTTTAGAGGAAATTGAAACAACAGACCAGTGTTTAGCACATATACAAATAGAAGACGCTAGATTATCTAAAGTAGCACACCACCATCCCGCATCATTTCTAAAAAATTTAAGACAAGCAAAAATAGATTTACTTTGGCATAAATACTCTGAATTAAAATCAATAGAAAGACAAAAATTAGAAGAACAAGAAAAATATAAAAATAAAAAGAATTTTTGTAATAAAGTTTGTAGAATATTTGATTAATCACGTAAGTCTTTAATTGGAAGAAGAACAAGAAAAATATAAAAGTAAAAAGAATTTTTGTAATAAAGTTTGTAGAATATTTGATTAATCACGTAAGTCTTTAATTGGAACCTTGAAAGTCCAACATAGTTTCACATAGGTCTTTAATTGGAGCCTTGAAAGTCCAACCACTAGCCTGTTTGGTATCAGGTTGTCAAAATAATAATAGGTATCTGGTGGTGTTTGGTACCACTAGCCTGTTTGTTTCAATTTCCTCTAAACTTTTGTCAAAATAATAATAGGTATCTGGTTGTCTGAGGGTTTGTAATGCTAATTTGTATGCGTTTTCTGGAGTGGATGTAAATTGAAAAGGCGGTTCAAAATTCATATAAAATATCAGGATGATTAACTGGAATTTAAGAAATAAATGACTACTAGATACTTTAAGAAAGATAACTGAGATTTTACCTTCCTTGCTTTAAATCCAAATTTTCCTTCTGATGCTATGAAAATGGGAATCTTGTGATTAGGAGTTTTGCCTCACCGGATCTTCCCCTGGCGCCTGCTTTGTAACTGAAAGGCTTTAATGGGTACTACACCGTCTTTTGGTCTTTTAGGATCCTAAAAACAAGGTATTTTTTTCAGAGTTTCCGGTGGTTTGGATCTAATCTAGGGTTGGCTGCCTAAATCTCTACTTTCTTATTTCTCTTTCGTCTTATGCTAGCAATATGAGAGAGCTAAAGACTTGTAAAAAACTGCTAAAGAACGTATGAATGATAATTAATACAAATCCGTGGGGCCCTTGTACCAAACAATGGTTTATCTATGGTTTTGCCATGGTTTTGCCATGATAAATCCAATTAGCTTAAGGAAAATCTTCCAGAAATATATTATCAAAGGGCCCCACCTTTTTGTATTCTCTTCTCTTAATTCGGCAGGGCATTCTTCTAGTAGCTTTTGGACTCTAAATTTCGGCGGGGACCACGGAGAGAAGGCATTGATGATTAGTCATTTTGGCTTTAAAAAGAAAGAAACGTACAGGCGGCTCTTATGATAGCTTTTAGGTTAGTTTAGTTTTTTTTTTTCTTTCTTGGTCCCTTTGATGGCCTGGACCTCAGTAAAATTACGTGGAGATTTTCTCATGAGGCGTGGCTAAGTTTTTCATCTAGTCGAAGGTCAACTTGAAGACTCGATTCCAAATATCTATGAGATCAAATTATTTTACTTATTTCTTTTATTCATTGGTATTCGTACGCTTTCTGGTTTAATTGCTTATGATTATTCTGTTATTTGAATGTCAAGAGCCCGATATTCGAATTAACCTAATAATTTACTGTCAAATTAATTGATTGGATCCTTAATCGTTCAATTGATTATACCAATGACGACTAGCGTGATTGGTTTCATGTTAGGGAAATGCATGATCTAATTTAAACAAACCCTCGTAGCGTGTTTGTTGGTTAGGGTTGAGTTTTTCTAATTATTAATGCAATCGAGTAATTAAATCCTACGGTCGTACCTAGGGTTATTTCTTGGTTAGGGAAATAGTTAACGGTCGTACCTTAACTATCGAGAAATTAAAAAAAGACTGGTTGTTCATCGCGTGTATGATAACTATAACCAATTTATTAATGAGTAATTGAATTATCTTTGCATCGATGATCAGTTGCATGGACCGTGTCTGAAAAGTTGTACCTTTGGCTAGAGTCGTATTGGTTATTGATTAATTTCTATTTATTTCTAGTAGTTGTTTTATTGGTTAGTTAATTAGTTATTTTATATTCTCCAAAAATCCCCATACTTCGGACTCTGAAAGAAATAAGTTATCCCCAGTCCCTGTGGATTCGACCCTGCTCACCGTTATATACAAAATTTATATTTTTCTCGAGTAGGTAATTATTATTGTACAGGCTCGACACCCTGTCAAAATCAAAGTGAGTCAACCATTTAAGTGTACTTGTTTTAGTTATCCATACACATTTGTCAGCTTTGGTGTCGGTTGGGTAATTATTTATGGATTGAATTATTTCCTCTAACATGTATGCATAATTGCATATACATATACACACACACCAAAAAAAAAAAAAGCCAATTCACACTTACAATAACAAGAAGAAATGCTGCACAAGAAATGATGCCAAATGATAATTTCCTCAAACCAAGGTATACATTTACAATATCTATCCGAAGGTGAGGGGAAAATAAAAAAAAATTACACAATTTTGTATATAAAAATTCACCTAGTGCCTCATATATTCAAAATTGCAAAAGGGTCCGCAAATTTTTCTGACTTAAATTAGAGATGCCTAAATCATATTGTTTTAAATTGAAAAATGGAGCTAAAGTTTTGGTTGCCTGCAATTGGGACAACCTAACAATTCATGGCAGATTGACCCATCCTTTCAACAAGGAGGACTGTAAAGTGGGAAAACATACATCATTTCGACATGAATTGTGTGTATCGATTTGACCTCTCTATGTTCAAGATTTAATTCAATGTGCTGTTACGTCAGTTAAGATTTTTCCTTATTATGACGTACTTCATTTTGACCCCGCAATATTTATGGTGCCCTGTTGATCACCTCTGTTTAAGGCGGGAATTCTGCATTTCACGTGCAAGATTGCAGCCTACAGCTACAGGAAGTACAATGAGTTTCATTTCAATTAAATGCCCTTTCTGCTTGTTCATCCTAACTGTTTACTTGGTTCAGAGCATACATGTACATGCCCGTTTAGGAAAATGATTTCTCTTTTTTATATACACGGACGGAGTTGAATGGATGTCATATTATACGAATTTAAATTTAAATATTAAATTAAATATAAATATATATATATGACATGCATTTAAATCTGTTAGTATATACAATATCAATGCATAAAAAATTTATCCTTAGAAAAATATAAAGTTTTTATAACCAATAATCCAGTTAGAATTTTTTATGTCACTATTCGGTGTGTCAAATTCAATATCAATCCTACTTATCACGTCAGAATAAAAGAAAATTAAATAAACAACATATAACAAGTTAAATAAACATAACACTTGATATAAATATATCCCACGTGCCATTAACCTAGCCGATGCCAAAAGTCCTCTGATCGTCCATTGCAAATCGAAAAAAGAAGATCTGGGAGTTCATCAGCTTGCCATGAATAGGAATTTTAACCGAGACATTTCGCATGAATTTGCTGGATACCACTTCATTCACCGGTGGTTCCGAAGAATACGTAGTTTTGTTGTTTTTGATCGTAACTTGTCTTCTCAATGTGGTCGCAATTTAATTAAATCTAACATATGTCTTTGGTCAGTTAAAAAAGATGGTTTTTATCTTGTTAAGGGAATGAATCCACCTGCGGGCAAATTCAAGAAAATGCACGATTTGTAGCATAAGGATTTCTCCTTCTTCCACAAGAAATTATGATGAAAAAAGTTTATGTGAAGAAATTTCAGATTTTGTTTTGCTACGCTTCTATCAGCTTGCAGTTTCTTTCTTTTAGAGACTTATGCTGATTCCTCCAGATTATCCTTCACAAAGTAAATTACTTCGCAAGCAGAGTACTTGGAAGTTTCCCTCTAGTTTGTGAAGAAATTGCAGGAATTAGTATTAAGAAGTAATGGTTCCACGAAGAAAAGTTAATAGTTTTCAAGTCAATATTAGGACTGAAAGGAAAAGTAATTATGGTTATTTGTTAAAAGCAAAACTCATAGGACAAATTACATTTTATCCCCTATAATTTTCGCAAAAATCACATAAACTCCTATGATTCTAAAAGCTATACATATACATAAACTCTTGTGATTTGGGTTGAAGTGTCAAACAGACGAAAATCACTCGTCATCGCGACGATTCGTGACTTAAACGCGGTTGTACTACTGGTAGCAGTAAGAAACATTCTCATATTACCCCCGATCACTTTAACGGACTCAATAGAACCTAGATCTAGATCTGTGCTCTTTATCTTTTTCAATGACGTCAGTGGATATGGCTCTGTAGATGGTAATGGTGGTGGTTATGGGGCTGGAAGCGGAGGCAGCAATGACGGCAGTGGATATGGCTCTGTAGGTGGTAATGGTGGTGGGTCAGGTGGAAGTGGTGGTAGTGGGTCTGGATTGGGTGGAGGTGGTGGTCCAGGCGGTAAATATGGTCCAGGTGGCGGCGGTAATGGTGGTGGATGGAATGGTGGTAGCTATGGTCCTGGTGCAAGCAGCAGGCAAGGGAGTTGGGGCAGCAGCTATGGCCATGGCAGGGGCTGGTGCAGGGCCCTGGCTCAGGATATGGCAGCAGTAGTACTGGTCATGGCAGCGGAGGTAACAACGGAGAAGGGCAGTATGGAATCAATGGTGGGGGCCTAGACAGGGACAAGCAGCAGCTCCCATGCAGCATGAAACCATGACTAGAGCTCTTGTTTCAAAATACTTTCTCGTGACACTCTTTGACAGATACTCTTTCACAGCTACTTTCACAACAAAGATTAGAGCAAGGGAAAATCTGCTTCCTTTTTTGTATTTATATTAGGGTAATTTGGACATTTCACCCACACGAATCGTGTCACTGTAGGTGCTTTCCATCTGTTTGACACTTCAACCTAAATCACAAAGGATTTACGTATAACTTTTAGAATCATGAGAGGGTTATGTGATTTTTACAAAAATCACGGGAGGATAAAATGTAATTTGCCCGAACTCATGAGATGGTCATTGAGAGGTATGACTATTGGCTTGTATGGTAGTAGTATAGTTCACATATCTCTGCTGATGGCATCAGATTTACACACTTTTATTTAGATCAGACTGGCAATTAGACAAATAGAGGACATGCACAGAAGTGCTTACATTAACAAACAAAATCTGTAAATGAAAATTATTACCACATTCCTCTACATTTTTTCTTTAAAATTTTCAATTAGATGAGCCAAAGAAATGTAGGATGAACCTTCCTCCACAATTGCCTGTCTGCATATTTCTTTCAGATCCTTCACCTTCTCTCTGATTTCATCCTTGTTTCTGTCCATCATAAGTCTCTTTATCCCATTCTCTATCTCATCAGCTGAGACTATTATCTTGCTCTCCATGTTAGCATCGTTCCTGTAATCCATTTTTATTTCAACAGCAATTCCCAGCTCCGCTACAACCTCAAAAGCATTTGTCTGTTGCTCAGCATACATAGGCCAGGCAGCAATGGGCGCTCCAGCCCACAAGCTCTCCAAGATAGAATTCCAACCACAGTGAGAAACAAAACCTCCGACTGCAGGGTGAGATAAGACTGCCATTTGTGGTGCCCAACCAATCACTTTTCCAACCCCAGAAGTTCTCTGCAAGAAGCCTTCAGGGAGAACTTCCTCGGGATTTGCATATGCAGATGGAGCATCAATCTCTCCCTTTGCTGGAGGCTGCCTTAAGGACCACAGAAACCGACACCGACTATGCTCCAGAGCCACTGCAATCTCCTTCACCTGCTCACAGCTGAAGCTTCCTAAGCTCCCAAAACACAAAAACACCACAGAACAAGAAGGTTGAGTGTCTAACCAGCTCATGATCCCATCATCCTGCTTAGAGTTCCAGTTGATTATAGGTCCGATCGGGTAGATTCGTGGGATCTTTCCTTCTTGACCCGAAAGTGACTTAATTGCATATGACTCTAGCTCGTGGAACGTGTTAACTATGATTCCTTTCACTTCTAGCATCCTTCGAGCTGAAGTAACAACAGCCGCCGAGCCCCAGTTTTTGTCTAGCATTGTGGTGGGCAACACCTTAGCAGGCACTGGATTGCTGAAACTCGGGACCAAGAGCTCAGCATCTGAATCTTTATAGTGGGTGATATCTTCATTGTATTCATCATGTAATGACTGAACATGCAACATAAGTCCAAGAAAACCAGCGCTAGAAGTGAAGAACAAGTAACTGGGCAGCTCAAATTCTTGTGCCACATCAATCATGCCTACACAGAACATGTCAACTACAATACCTGCAATTTCTCGATCCGAATTGGCCTTAGATATTATGTCAAGGACTGCATCTCTGACAAGTGGTTTCTGTCGATTGATCAGCTCAACAGCGACAACATTTCTGTTCTTGGATTTTGGTTCTTGATGATCTGATGAATCAATCTGATAAGGGATGTTCACAAATCGTATGCATGAATTGGCGTCTGTTAATTGGGATTCCATGAAGGCATCAACTCCAGTATTATAGGAAAGGTCAATGGTGATGTAAACTATAGAAAGATGCTCATCTCGATTGATAAGAAGCTTCCCAAACTCCACAGCCGAGGCCAGATGACCCATCCCTGGACCAGGGATGAACAAGAGCTCTGTTTTCTTCATTTTCGTTGTGGTCAAAGATCTAGCGTTGTGCTATATGTCTGCTTCTTTAGCTTGTATATAATGATGTTTTGCTTAGTCTTTTTCCCTTAGGTCACGCGCATTGCACGTGATTATAATATTATAAAATATAATATTTCTTATACGTTAATTATTTGTTAATCACTGTGGTTGACTCAGAGATTAAGTTAGGGCTGTTAGGGTTCTCTATTGTTCAGGATTTGAATCCTGTATCTGATAGTTGGGGATGCAAAAGATATGGAGAGCAGTGGGAGGGTAAAAAAATTAAATAAAATATTTTTTTTGTATAAATATCCACTGCATGCTCTACCATTTATATAAGTTGAATTTATTAGTATCTTAATGAAATTTCTCAATATTAAGTTATATGCACCGTTTTTTGAAAAATGAAGAGATGTCTATTCTTTGAAATTGAATCTTTTGTATTATTTTATATATTATTTCTATTAACAACAGAGCATAGATGATTAACCAAATAAAAAAAATTTCCCCTCTAACTATTCATTTTTTTGAGAATTGAAATTTCATAGGTAGAGATAGTTGATATTTTCTTTTTTTCTTTTGTTATTTTTTTTATTTTTTTAGGTAGAATCTAAAATAAAACACAAACAAAAAAATTCTATTAGAAAATTTGAAAATTTCCTAAGAGCACCACCATGTTTAAGTATCAATAGTGATGTTTTTGAAGATTTGAAAATTTAATTAGGCTATAACCAATCAACAATTTTTAATGGAAATAAAAAATGAAAAATAGAATTCAAAGAGACGCATTGGTTTAGAGTGTTACTTTTTTTCCTAACTGCTACGATTATTGCTATTATTAAAATATAATAAATCTAATTATTAAGTAGAATGTTATTTTAGACAAATAGAAAACTAAGACCAAATCTTGCTTAGTCTCTCATGCTTAACATTTTATCTTGTCATCAACTATTATTTTCTTCTAAATCAATAGATATGATATAATGAATTTTAATCATCATAATAAAATTAAAAAAATATAATATGAAATTTCAATCATCAGTTAATAAGGGCATATATAATTGAAATAATAAAAGCTAATATCACAAGAATGCTTACGTTTACACTTATACTCCAAAATACCAAGACTCATGATTCTTTTTATATACTAATGATAATGATACGCAATTTCCGGTGTCTACCTTTCGTGTTTATCATAAGTTAGAATCTTGACCGCTATAATCTTAATGATCAATCAATTGGCACTAAAAAAAACCATGAAAGCAACTCTTTGGTTGTCCCTAGTAATAAAATCAAGAAAGACAAGATGCTTGTGGACAAAAAGGATCTGTCACTGCATGGTTTATTAAGCGACGGATGTATCACGTCACAAAAAACTACTTACAAAAACTTGGCTTTTCTTATACATGGGACGGAGGAAGATGCCGTGACGAAAGGAGGAAACAAGAAAATAGGTTTTTATATTCATGGGACGGAGGAAGAGGCCGTGCCGGGAGGAGGACATAGTTCGTGAATCGAGCCAAAGTTTTGTGATGTGACGCAAGGCATAAACCATTATTCTACATTAGATTCTTGAATCAACTGCATAATTGATTTCTACAATTTCTTCTTCGAGTATGATTTTTATCTTGAATTTTTTTTTCTAAATTTAATTAGATAGTTTTTTTTTTTTAAGTAGAGAATACAAGTACATTAACAAATAAGCATAATACGCAGTCTTAAACAGGTACAGAACATGGGAGGCTAGCTCCCAAAGTTCCTATAAATCCTGTTATAATCATGGTTTGAAGACTCGGCCGAGTCTCCGTCTCGGGCGGCCGAAATGAGACCGCGATGAAACGTTTTCGAGATACGTGACAGGTCGAGACGTCACCGTGAAGGGTTGAAACGGTCGAATCACTCTGAATCATTCCGAATCAACTTGAATTTTTATTATTTTTACTAATTTTTAATTATTTTTATTTATCATATTTTTTATAATTTTTAGAATATTAAATATTTCAAAAATTCATGTCTCGCCAAGATCGCAACCAATATGCCGAGACCGATGTGGAACGGTCCAAGCCGTGACTGTGACTTTTAACCATGGTTATAATGGCTAAAAAATATTTGGCTAGCTGAATCAAAACACATAGAAGGAAGATTCATAGTGGCTCCCATTTTTTGCCAAAGCATCCACACACCAATTGGATTTCATAAACATCCCATGACTAAGGATATCCGGCTAAAGGGATGGTTTTTCTCACTGTGATGGAATCCCATAGAGCTGAATCCAAACACACAAAAGGAAAGATCCACAGTAGCTCTCCTTTCTGCCAAAGCATCCATGCAAAAAGTGGCTTCTCTTAGCTATGGTGGATCTCTAAACATGCTATGAGCCTATGACCAAGGATATCTGGCAAAAGTGATACTTTGAATCTTTGTAACAAAAGGTATCACGTTAGCCTGATATATGGCCTTAGTCATAGAATGTTGAACTTTGAGCAATTAAGTTGTGCCAATAAATTGTTCTTGAGAGAAGTAACTGCTTCAAAATCCTAACACCAGCAATCCATGGCCTTCTTGTACTCTGGCCCTTCTAGGGTCAAAAAGATTAAGACCCTCCTTGTGTTCTTAAGTCAAAATCCTTTTTCAAGTTTCTGACATGTACCTAACCGTAGATGATAATACTACAATTTCTTACAAGGGAGCCAATTTCAAGTGTTGGGATTATTATAAGAAAACCATTTGCAGGATTGGTTTGACATATATATGGATTAGTGTGGACAGGTCCTGCTGAACCGGATGAATTGATTAATGGATACCATTTCTGCAAGTATGATGGAAGAAAATCCTTTTAATTGCTCAAGCTTCTTCAAAGTGAGTCTCAAGAATCAGCCGGTTGTTCCTCAATATGGCAGTCCATGTCGTGCAAAACCAAAGTTGCAGATTGTCAAAACTCAAAACCATCTTAGTGCTTCAGATAGAGATCATGTTTCGCTAATCAGGAAGAATGAGTGCTTAGGCAGACAATCAGGATGTTGAATACAGTTAAAGCATTATACAGACTGCTAGTGCCTAAAGATCTGAAAATGAAAATTTCAGTGCAATTGTTGTAAGCCGTCATTTCCATTTTCCAACCCTTGTCTAGCCTGTAGATTTTATAGCATAATCAAGAATATCTTCTTCGTCATATCAGTCAATAGTCGTATTATACAGTAGAAAATCCTTATTTCAAAGTATGCCATAAAAAAAAATAATAATCAAGGATTCATTAGAAGGTTCCCATGATGAGTTACTAATGAGTCACCAAACTTGCTTGGATCAGGTTTCGATATGGCTACGGCTTAAGCCAACCTGCTCCATCTATCAATTCCAATGAAAAGATGGAGCTGATCTTAGAAACAAGCAACAACCCCCATGCAATGCAGGCAACTTGAGAGATACTTGGCCTTGATTACTCGTGAGATGCAATTTCAGATGGGGAAAGCAGAATTCTTGAAATTTCTTATCTATAAACTCAAAAATATGAGAAGAGGAAATGAGTGAATATAATCACATTTTATTAAGGCAGTATGCTTGTGCGTTTGCAAGGATCTAAAGACCCTCTCTCTCTCTTTTTCCCCCCTGCTTCTTATTATGAAAAGTAGCAGCACATATTTTGAGGTTAGGATTCCATACCTGAGCGATAACAGACCTTTTTCTAGCCTATAACGAATTACCGGTCGTGTTTAGAAATTATCTATAATATTGTAAGGTACAATTATCTAATGACCGACCTTCAATTAACAAATCCTTCCTTATATTCCATGTGTGGTAAATCTGTGTTATTAACTAAAAATCAAAGAGGGACTTGAGAAATATAGCAATCCAGGCTAATCATTAGGATAATAATTCCAACAAGCAACGCAGAACTTCAAAGCATCAAATTTTTGTCCTCGGGAAAACTTTCCAGCCTTCAAACATGATCTCTATCAGGGCTTGCGATCAAATTATCAGGACTACTGAGTTTTAGTATATACTCTCAGCGTACCCAGTCTTCGCTTCTAGGCTAGAAATTATCAGATGTGGAAAAAAAACTTATCGTACAAAATTCTCTATGCTAAAACAAGTCATGCATTTCCTCCAATTGCAGAGCTATACCTGCCAAGAGAAGCATTTTTTGCATTCATTCCTGTTCCTTCAATTTCTTTAAAGTTCAACAGTATACCATCCATAACTTTCACAGGTTACATATTCAAGAGTACTTTCAATCTTTAGAGCTACTAATCACTTCAAGAGTGACAATAACCATCCTTTGATTTATCATTCTTCTTCCCTTAAAGGTAAATGAACACTTACAAATTCAGGCAGGATAGCATTTCCACCAACTTAAAGCCGCAATTCGAATTCCCTCTATATACAAAAATATCCTGCAATAACACTAATCCTCTGCCACCATTCACTTAATTTCAACTTAAACCCCAATACTAAATAACGGCAATAGCCTGCATCCAGCAAAAAAATCCAGTTGAAGGGGAACTTCAATAAAAATAAAATAAAATCATTCATGACATGACAAAACCATTTTGCTTCATTTCATCGATCACCATATCTAGCTTCTCCTGCAAGCCAGCTCGTCTATAGCCAGCAACCAAGAGATCATAAGTCGATCTTCTGAGCGTAAAAGAATCTCTTATGCACTCTAGAAACAGGTCTAGCCTTTCGTAAGCAGCCTGCCGGAAATACAAACAAATTACGTTTTCAACATCATCTGGAAACCTGAATGACATCCCGTGTTTTAACATCCTCCCAACAGCAAATTCTACGTCATCCAATCTAGCTGCCCTAACATACATTCTGATAATTGCATGATGCACATAGGAAAGAATATCTGAGGCTTGATTTGAATTAGATAAAACAACTAATAGCTCCTCCAAATCTTCCACTCTTCCCAGTTCAAGATACAGAGCTACAACCTTCTTTACTGTGCGACGATCAATATTACCTGAACCATCCAATACAAACATCATAAACTCTTTGATTTTATGAAATTTTCTCTGCTCAGAGTAAACCAGAAGCATGTTCTGCAAAATGGATAAATTTGGTACAAAACCAGTTAATGTCATTTCTTCATAGAATTTCTCAGCATTACTGAAATCTTTTGACTTGACACAATCAAATATGAGAGCATCATATGTTTGAGGATCCGGCGTATACCCAGCATCCATTCTAGCCGAGTACCAAGCTTGCATTGCCTCCTTGTTTCCTGAACTGGCATATGCTGTAATAAAAGCAGTATACGTATCAGCATCAGGTTTAGACTCCTCGGAGATCTCCATTAATTCATATAAACTTAATGCTGTGACAATTTCATTCGAGGCCAAGCATGCAGATATGAGGGCATTAAAGACTGAAGAGGTTGGCTTGATTCCTTGAGCCTCCATTGCAGAAAATATTCGCAATGCAGTTTCAATATTGTGTATCTTTCCACATAGCAATATTAACCAAGAATAAGAATCTTGATTTTTCTCATTTTCCTTAATAAATTTCTCTAATCTCCACTCAACAACCTGAATACATCAACCAACAAGAATAGTATCAATAACTTTTCCCTTCAATATTAAAAAACCTTCTAAATCCAGAGTTAGGGAGTAATGTTGTATAGGCTCTTAAAAGAAGGCCATATTTACGTCACACAAATATATCGGTAAGATTTTGACCTTCTAGCAGTTGAGTAGTACTGAGCAGGCTAAAAGGACAGGTTTAGCAAAGCTATTAGCACAAGCAAAACAACCAAATGAGGATATATGAAATAATGTAACATAACCCACCCCTCCAGCCAAATAAGAATAATAATAATAATAATAAAATAAGCCACCATCAACCTATTGACTATTCTTCCCACAAATGCAAAATGAACCAGTAATTTTTCCAGCTCCCATCAATCAGCAGTCCCCAATAGGGAAGCAAAATGCACAAATAATTACATGAAAAAGAAATGTTCTTTACCTTCTTGAATCCATCTATCCCCAATTCTTAGTTCACATCTATTAAACTAAATGCAGTGACAGATGAAATTTTAAAAATCCATTATAAAAGACTGGACTGAAACACAATTATAAAAATGCTAATTCAACTCAATGAGAGTTATCCCAAAATATAAACTTGAAAACGAAAGAAAAATACCCACAGAAAAGGTACAAGCTTACTCACCAAATTGGCCTTTCTGGGAAATGAAGAAGACAAGAGAGCAGAAACAAGCCCATCCCATGAAAAGTCTTGGCTTTTGAGGGTGGAAAAATGAATTTTCTCCTCAGAATCCAGTGTTTCTTTGATTCTTGAAAGTGGCACCTGGACCAATTTTGCTGCTAAAGAATTGTTGCCACGGACCAAGAAAAGACGAGAAATTGAACTGATGATTAAAAACTGCTTTATCTTCGTTGAGTGTATGATAGAACGAGCTGAAGCTAGAGCCATATTTCTTTTCTTCATGAAATTTCCTATTCGTTGATTGAGATTTTTCAGAAGTCGACTAGCCGAGATGGTGGTTTTTAATTTCATTACCGGAAAAAAAAAATTCATTATTCTTGTTTTCCTATTATCCTTTGTAAACGGTATTTACATTAAACCCCTACAATTAGTGCTAATAATACTTCAATCCAACTTATAGCCGGTCGTGCATCAAATTAAACGAGGGAGTCTGCTAAGAATCTTTTGTGATAGATTTCTTCCTTTTATATTAGTGACATTCCAAGCCAAAGACAAAGGATGCAGCTAATTATGAAGTGATTTTGACATTATTTAGAGAAATATTTATGCAGCGTGAAACTAGGTCTCGACTAATTTAGTGTATATCCTTAAGAGTATGTTTTTTTATACACGGTCAATGTATAATATATATATTTTTTACATTAGCGTGTCTAGATTATAGCAGATAACATAAATGCAAAATTTAAATTTAAATTATGCATATGTGATATATATATATATAAAATTGTAAGTGGAAAAAATCAATATCGGTAGATATAAAGTTCATCCATATTCTTATACCAACAACTTGAACCTTGTGTTACAAATGGGTAGAATTGATTTTTGGACTAAACTCACATTGCGATAATCTTTTTATATGGTAACGGGAGATAATGAATTTGTGGGTGTAATATATATGAGTCAATATAAAATCTGAGGGAAGTTGAGTATGATTTCAGTATACACAATGTTGATATGATATGTTTTAATCCTATTTCAAGCATTAATTTTTTAAAGAGTGATGTTGAATTGGGCACTGAACAAATTATTTGCATTCCTAACTTTACACTTTTGAAAATTTGTTTCTCAAATTTCATTAGTTTTTGCAGGGGTGGCAATTCGGGTCCAATCAGGTTGGTGGATGGGGTCAAGACCCGACCCGTCAACCCACGGGTCAGTATATCTGACACGAACCCGAAAATTTTGGGTTGATGGGTTGGCGGGTCAACCCGAAATGACACGAAAATTAATTTTAATTTATTAATTTATCACTGTAAATTCTAATAAAGCCAATTTCTCACAAAATTAATTACATCATCAAGTAATAAAAATTTAAATAAATAATTTCAAATCAAATCCAAAATAAATTAAACACCGTAAAAGTGTTTTATTCCAAACCAAATATAAAATAAATTAAAACGAATTATATTATTTGTCCAAATATAATAATTTTAACTTCATACAAGGTAAATAAATTCTTTTAGGATTAAATAATTAATGCTTTTGAAAAAAAAGAATGATTTAGTTTAGTTAGATAAAATAATTTTTATGTTTATTAAATTATTTTTAATTTGTAAACGGGTCATATCGGGTCACCACGGGTTGACCCGAAATTGACATGTTTTCTTTTCGGGTTCATCGGGTTCGACCCGATTCTGACCCGAACCCCCAAAACTTCAACCCAAACCCATTAATTTCGTGTTAGGTTCGTGTCGTGTTTTCGGGTCGTGTCAGAAATTGCCACCCCTAAGTTTTTGGTAGTGCAGAAAAGTTTCTTTTCAACACTCAAAAGGAAAAATGACCATTTTCGTCCCTAAACTTTTTTTTTCTGTCGATTTAATCCCTAACTTTTATTTTTGGTCAATTTAATACATGAACTTAATTTTCGAGTCCAATTAAGGCCCTTTACGGCGGCACCACCATCTAAAAGCAATTTGGCCCCTAATTTAACATCAAACAAGGGCATTTTGGAAACTTCAGGTAAGGAAAACATTAGTCTTCAACTAAGGAAAGACAGATTGGCTCAAGACCCTACTGAGGGATGGTCTTCAACTGCCACTAGCCAGCGATTTAAAGAGTAGCCTCTAAACCTTGACCCTTTTGTTATTATTGAATCCCAAACTAGGGTTTGTTTGGATAGAGATTATTTATCAAATTTTATTTGTTTATATCATCAACATATTTTCAATAATCTTTTTATCTTATACACATCACATAAAAAAGTGTTAAACACACTCTATATTATGTTAAACTTGACATACACAGTACATAATTTCTCAAGAACATAAAATTACCCTCTCAAGGCCTCCAATGTGCACCTCTACTTAGGGGTGGGCGCAGATCGAGTACCCGCCCTATTCACCATTTTGGCTGACCCGACCCGCATCTTGCGGGTCAACCATTTTCTGACTCTTATCCGCTGAGATAGGGTCGGGTCAGCAGGTACCCGCCCCCGCCCTCGCCCCATTTATCATTTAATTTTTTTTTAAAAAATAATTTATACTAATTTAATTTATATTTTAAACATTCATCTAAGATTTAATAAATTTTTTTTCTAAAAAAGGGTTTCCCACCGAGAAACAAGCATGTGAAGAAAATATAAGATAAAGGAAAAAAATTAAAAGAATTCAAAATCAATAAATGTTTGAAATAAGTAGCACAATTTTTAATATATATGTTCCACATTAATTAAACTTTTTTCTATAAAATACAAGATTATGGCCTCTACAAATGAATCTTGTAAATAAACTATAGTCTCTCATATTTGTAATGCAATTTGTTCAATAAAATTACTTATTTAGTTCTAACTTATTATTTTATAGTGTGTGTATAAAATAAAAATATATATATGTGGGACAGATCGGATACCCGCAAATTTTTAATTATATGACCCTAACCCGCCCCCCATCTTAGCGGGTACCCGACCCTCCTTTGACCCTATCAAATAATAAAAATCAGATATCCTAATTTTCGGATCGGATCGGAACGGATATGACAGGTTTTCGGGTTAACGGATAATTTTACCCATCCCTACCTCTACTAGGTTTGCCTGGTTGAGTCGCAAGTTTCAACTATGGCTTTTGTGGTTTTATAGGCCCCTTTTTTAATTCTTTTTTTCAATTTATTATTATTATTATTATAAAGTAAGGAAAGAAGAGAATTTAAGAAGTGGACAAGAAGAAAATGAGGACATGAGTAAATCTTATACATATTGTTAATATACACACTCTTATGATTAAATGAATACCACTTATATAAAATTTATATTTGAAATTCAAATTCAACAGATGTAATATTTATCCAAGCATGTCAGTGTATATAAAATTAATCAAAATCCAAGCATGTAAGTGTATATAAAATTAATCAAAGCTTCTATCTAGTATTTGCTCAATCCTTTTAGGTGGAAATAATCTAACAACATGCCTCTCGTTTGCCTTTTCTCTTGTATTGTTCTATTATTTCATCAACTGGCAAAAAAAAAGTTTTACATTGGAAAAAAAAAAAAAACTTCATCTACTTCCATACAGAATCAATAAGATTAATGCTCGAACAAATCAAGGCAAACCAAACTTGGACAAGGCTGATTGGAACAAAGATGAGAAAGCCTCGGACGTACTCTGATCATCAGCTTTGATCTTCAACTGAGCTTTACTTGCTGATGTATTGATTATGCATTCTACAAGGTAGTTTGAAGATTCTTTTGCCTTTTGTGCGAAGAAGAAGAACTTAAAGTTTGGAGCTTGACCACCTGAAGCCATGCAGTGAATCGATTGCCCTTGCATGTGCCGAATAAGCGCTTGAGGAGTTGTCAGTGCTGTAATTCCTTGAGGGCTTATGGAGATCTCCTGAACAGAACCACCAGGCAATAAAACGATTAAAGAAACGACAAAATATCAGACTTGCAATAGAAGAAAGAGTAGCCTGTAAGTCTTGCCACGTGACAGCAAACATGAAAGCTCTTCCCATACATGTTCTGATAATGGAATGCAAAAGAATTTCATGTGATAATTAAGAATCAAGAACCAAGTTACGAGAGGAAGTGCCAAGGAGAACCTGTGATATAGATATTGGCAGCTGTCGCCATTTTTGCTGAAATGAGTTTGGATCCAGAACAGCTTTGGGATTTAGTTCCAAGGCAGGAGGTGGAGGAGGAGCAGGGGTAGATGCAACTGGCAATCCTAGGCCAAGTAGATCATCAATTGCTAAGCTGGTTGATGATACACTTGCTGCTGGTGTGTGGTCGAGGGACACAAGATCTAATTGAGTCTGTGGTGCTGCTGTCAATGCAGGAGAACCATCATATGCTGGAGCATTATAGGCGGAACCATTATTACCAGGGCCCCTACTTTCTTCTTTTTCAGAAGTACCCAACAGTAAATCCTTGTCATTTGCCTCAACTCTCTGGGCTGTGACTATGTTATCCGCAGATTCAACACCGATAGACAAACTCCCGAGTTCTTCTGAGAAAGCAAAGGGTCCTCTGTGTTCTTTATCAGTAAACATGTATGATGGCTGCAAGATTTACAGATTCTTAGTAAAACAAATGGTCTTCCAACAACCAGATGGTGTTAAGTCTCTAGACTCTCTACATAACGTGAAGTCAGATTGGTATACAGGTTAAACTTACAACTATCACAAAGATCACATACACTTGTTTGCTATTAACACAGAAAGTAAGTTAGCCACATCATAGCCTCAAGCAAGATTAGTAATGACACTCTTATGAACAACATAATCTAATTAGAAGTAACAAAAAACAGTTTATGATGGATTCAATTCAGTAAAATGTTATAAAATACTGATTACCTTTTGATATACAACAGAAAGACTGTTAAATTCATCAAAAATGCGATCTTTAATTTCACTACTTTGAGTGTCAGCAAAGACTGAAACAGCTTGCTTTGGAGGATTAACCACGCGTTCTGCTACAGATACATCATACTGTAAAAGTCTGTAGTAGAGCAGTGCTCTGTCATGAACATCCTGCAGTCAAAGAAAGATGAAACAAATTCTTTGGCAGCAAAGTATAGGAAATGTTCTATTCAAAGATCAAGTAGAATCTGCTAGATTTAAGTATGCTAAAAAAGAAAAAATAAAAAATAGGAGAAGACCTGATGAAAATCAGCAAGACCAGAAGCCAAGGCATCTCCTAGAGCTTTTTGAGTCTCTGGTGGTCTTCTTAAGAAACACTTCATAACTGCAGAGAGTAAATGTAAACGAACCTGCAAAACCAAAAGTATCAGTTGCTTGTTCACATTATACAAGTTGCTTGAACTATGTTGTA